TAACCACTATGCCACCGACGCCACGTGATAACCTAAAGACAAAGGTTAATAAATGTTAGTGTATTTTAGAAGTTTCATTTGAACTTATTGACGCAAATAGACTTATCCTGAATGGTGGTAGTTTCCTAAATGACTGAAAACAATGGTGGCAGACAAATGCCGAAGACATCAGTACTGAGAAATACACACACGTCAACGTTCTAGGCTGGTTAAGGAAACAGATTCTAAGAAAGAGAGAGACAGTGGGAGATAGAACTCAGATAACTTTCCGTTGAGATGTCTGGAACATTATGCAGAACACTTTGAAGAGCGATTGATCTGATCCATGACCAAACTCCTTTGTCCTTCCATCCAAACCTTGACCTTTATTGGATGCATGATTTAGTCCTACTGTAGCCATAACTGCTGGGCTTTCAGAAGGCATCTTCAGTCCGAAAGGTAGCTATGCAGCAGAAGTTGACTGTACGGTTGCGGAATTGTTTAAGCGTGTCAGTGACACATTATGGACTTTATCAGCTTGAATGTTACCTAGAGTGTGGGAATCCTAGATAGTTTCATGAGACTGGCACTGGAATGCAGGTTTACCTACGGGAATCGACCACTTGCGTTATTTTTTGTCTTTGGAGGTGATATTTGACCTTTTGGTGGAGATGTACCATAGATGTGTTTAGTTGTGAAGGCAACTCGAGAGAAATATCCACCGTCACCATTCTTATTCAAATTCATTACAAATGTGTTGACGGTAATATCGATGCTCCAGGAATTGACTTAATAGCAAGTAATGGTTCCCTTGAGCTGGAGATAATGTCTCTCTTGGGGAATTGCTGAGTCTTCTGAAAATCGTGAACATATAACTGACTGTTTAACTTGCTATTTGTGCCTTTCGAATGTAAGTGATTCGGAAGCATTTGTTCACACACACACACACACACACTCCTAGCTCGAGCTGGAGAATATTTGAGAAGTCTCATGAATCCTAATGGACTGGGTCATGCGGAAGACTTTGGGGAGTGAGAGAAAAAGAATAGATTTGGACCGATAAGAAAACTAGAAGATCTGGGCCTATCGAACGACTTATGTCTAGTGCCACTTGAATCTGAGAGCTACAGGTGACGGCCAACAAGTTGACAGCAGTCTGTCTGTCTGTTTTCAGCACAGAACTTTGCACCGATGTGCAGCAGTTCAAGTCGCCACACTCCATACAGCACACAAAGCAAGAGGAGAAAGAAGAAAAAATCCATAATAGAGACAGTAAACAGAGGTGTGAGACAAAGGAATAGTAACAACGAAAAACAATATAGTTTCATTGGAAATTATGAGTCACAAGGAGTGGATGCATGTGCGCCAGTCACAGAACGATTTTGAGTCATATTGTAACAACAGAAGACAAGGGCCAGGCAACAGACCGTTTATTAGGAAAATCAACACATATTTATAGATTTTAGTTTACACTATTGTAGGTTATTGTTAGTATAAAATACAGTCTTTTGATTGGGTTTTTCTCACAGAAAGTTCACCTTGCATATCTTCGTGGTTGTGTCAGATCATCCATATGCTAACTGTATCCGCCTACGCAAAGCCTTTGTTCTCATTTTCTCACCACCAATATTGGGGACATAAACATTGACGTCAATTGCTGCCTACCAACTTTGGCTAGCAGCCAGCTCTCACCACAATATCAAAGATTGTCTCCAACCATTGGTTTTTACCATCCCGAAAACCCCAACCAGGAAGTCTACACCTTCCTACGTGGCTTAAACTAACTGTTGTGGATTTCATTGACTGGTGCCATGTTTCGGTTTGACCACCATTGGCTAACTCTTTTCCAGCCTAACCCTATGTCAGCTAACATTGCCCATTGTCGAGGAAGGTGATGACTAGTCATGCGTAACACATGTCCTAACAATCCTAGTCGGTGTAACTTCACAGCCTCGTCGATTGATTTCCCCTCCTTACGTAACACTCGACCGATGCCTCGCCTCAATATTTGTCACCCTATTATACCACTTCATACGGGAGATAGAACGCAGGCACCTACAATCAAAGACAGCTAGCCAGCCTTTTCATGTGTCCTACTTTCAATGGCCAGGTCTCACAGCCGTAGAGAATGACGGAGCGGAATGCTGAGCAGTACACACGCCCTTTGGTCGATAGCCAGCTGGATATCATGCCTACGAAAAGAGTGATGGAGTAAAGTGGCATATGCGAAACTAGCTTTCTGTATCCGTACTGAGATCCCTTCAGCGACCAACCCGTTGGTGCTGGCTGATGGAACTTCCCAAGTAAGTGAAGTGGTCGACGTGTTCTACCACTCCACTCCCTATTTCTAAGCTAGGAGTCAGGATAGTCCAGTCCTGCAACATCATCTTGCATTAGGCGGGAGCGAATCGCAAGCCAAACATTCGTAGATTGCAGCTCAGGGTGTTCAGAAGACTCTGCTGGATTTTGTCAGCGTCCTCGCCTAGAAGGACTATATCGTCTGCATATTCTAAGTCAACGAGGTTATTCCCTTGCAGCAATTCAATCCCTGAGTCTCTGAAGTGAGTTAGGGTTAAATCCATTAGTACGTTTATGATCGCTTCTCGGCTCTTTGAGCTAAGATCATGTGTGTTGACAGCAGTAGCGAAGACTGGACTTCGAGTGAATACGGAGTAGGCAGAGGTGATGAAGATACCAACTCAACAATAACCAGTAACTATCGCTATCACCGGAAGAAATTTGAAAGACTCCAATTTCTTCACTTATCTAGGAAGCGTTGTGTCAACTACAGGTAGTAGGAACGGATGAGGATGCCAAAACCACAATCAGAATGGCAACACAGACATTCATCATTATTAACAGCTGTTTTATCTCCTTACTTAAGGTCACATTTGAAGAAATGATAAGCAATGGGGGACTCTGGGAACAAACCAACCAAGAGCCTATAGCCCAACAAATACGCCGATGGAAATGGAGGCAGCTCGAATACACACTGAGGAGGAGATCGTTGAGTGAAATCACGTGCCGGACAGGCCCTCGAGTGGAACCCAGATAGAGAAAGACTAGTTGGGCGTGGGTCCGCCTGTGGCATGGAAGAGATTGTTTGAGAAGGAAATGAGAGCATATGGGGAATTGTGTAGAGCCAGCTAAAGGAGAGAACTGCAGAGAACAGAATGAATTGGAGGTGTACTGTTGAAGCCCCAGTGTCCCACCAGAAATCTAAGAAAATCTCATCTACAATCCAAATGACTTTACAATGAAACAAGATTTGAAGAGTTGTTCATTCACCTTGCCATTAAACATCAAAGAGAACTTGAATAGATTCATCCTGCATTCTGGTTACCAAGATCCTAATCAATTTAGGTAAACAGAACATGTACTACGCATGCCAAAATAGTGCCTTTCTTGAAAAGCAATGCTAGTTGAAGGAGGATTAATTTGGAAAATAGTTGGAGGTGGTGACCAGACGAAAACATGTCATCATAAATCAATGAAGCCTTAGACTGTCAGTTTGAGCCACATATGAAAGTGTCCTCAGGGTCCACTCGTATGCTTAGTTTTCTGCATCGGTGTGTCAGTCAAGTTGCACATTGTGAAAGAAGCCAACAGGAAAGAGTTAACTCGAGAGACAAAGTATTATTAACAAAGTGTGTATATTTCCTGTTAAATAAAGCAGTCGTGCGCTATTTACTTCAACGTCGAATAAGGCATCGGTGTAAGATTATCGTGAAGTCTCACCTTGCTTGTGTGTTAGCCGTAGAGCATTCCATCCTGTAACACTATGTTATAAATTCTCAGGTGCTTCAAATCATGCTCTATTTATTGCCACCCAGTGATGAGTAGAGAGTAACTTACTCATTTGCATAAGCTTACAATTCGGAGTTCATAAACGATGGAAACGGTTACTCATTGCTCGCGGTCTTTTTGTTGATGTTGGTTTGCAATCACCGCAAAGTATCTTTTGTCTCTTAAGTAAACAAAGGACTTCAGACGATTTGAGGTCAGATCTAATTAACTTTATCGTGCTAAAGACATTCTTGTTGACTTTTGAAGGCAAGTTATAAGGAGATAGAAAAACCAATCTAGTAGAAATAAACAAGACTGTTACCATGATAGTAGGAGTGGTTGAATAAATTTCCTGTCTGAATGAATGGCTAGAGCTTCAGCAATGCAAAAGAGATAAAAGCATATTACCTTTGTCAGGTTATCCTTCACTTTGTTGGTTACTTTGAAGGAGGCGTCTATTGAGAGGGAATGACCATGGTATGGTCATGGTGTTCAATTATCGTACTCCTTATAGTGTCACTATTACAGTGTTCTGGAATGCTTTTAGACAAGAAGCGCGTCGAACGACTAATGCATCTGACTCCCCATCAACAGGTGGACTGATGCACACACGTAGAAGTGGTCAGATTACGAGATCTTGCCCCTTAAGGCTTCTGCATACCAATTGACAACTGGAGAACTGAAGAATGTTTTTCTCAAAAATGCTGAAATTCTTCTTTTATTTATATCGCAGGTTAAGTCTCCCTTGAACTCCAGGTTGATGTATAGTTTCCTTTTTTGGGGAAGCAATACTTCGTTCCTATGGGAGATTTTGGTCTGATGCTCTGATCGATGAATCTTAATGTTTGGGTATCCATTTTGGATGAAGGTTACTTTCAGAAGATGCAGTTGTGCTTTCAGAGCATCAGGACTGCAGATGCGTCAGATCCGAGTGGCAAGGGATTTTGAATTAGATTTCATTTTGGTTCAATGGGCATCCAACTGTAGAAACTTGTTAGTTGACTATTCCAAGTGGATATTCTATGGACTAACTTTCTTAAGGCTCTGTCAGGTGTTCTTTTTAATTCCATATCAAGAAAGGGAATTCTTGTCTGATAAACCTAGTGTACACACATACACATGCACTCTTCTTTGAACTATGTGTTTCGTTTTCAAAAATAATTATTTATAATTATTATTATTACTGTTATTTCATTGTTGTGAACACATATCATCTTGACGTTTTTGTATTCTAGGTGCAAAGTATCACTGTTAAAGAAAGTGAACCAGAACGCCAAGAAACTAGGACAAAAGTGGACGAGAATCGACGTTATGTAATCGAAGCAACTATAGTCAGAGTTATGAAAGCCCGTAAAACACTGAGTCATGGACAGTTGGTTGTTGAAGTTATTGAACAACTGAAATCACGATTTGTACCTACTCCTCTGATGATTAAACAGCGTATTGAATCCCTTATTGAACGTGAATTTCTCGCTCGAATGGAAGATGATCGTCGTGTTTATAGATATTTAGCTTAATTGGTCTCTTAACTTTTTTCCTTTTTTTCGTTTTTTTTTTGAAGACAACTTGTATCTTTCAAGTAATACACACACACACACACACACTTACACACATATATACAACCATTCCTTCAAATTATAACCCGTGCGAATCGCCGTTCAACGTTTGTGTTTTTTGTGAAGTGTACGTTTTCGCTAGTTTTGGGATATATACATATATATACTACCTTGTACTTTTCAAATCTTCCATAGCATCTCGTGTGTCACAAGCAATATTCTAAATGACTAAATGCCAGATTGTTGATTTCGAAATGATCTATCTATTCAATCAAATCTCTATTTGTTCTTCATGAATAAAATAATCAATCTTCTAATGTTTCCGTACAATTATAATTACCTGCCTACACTGACAACTGTGCTCATCTCTTCTCGCTCTCTCTCTCCCCCTTTTTGTCAATCTTATGCTTGGTTTCATTTCCTTTAGTTTTTTCTCTCTTCTAATTAAACTTTTTCCTAGGCGTACTTGCCTACATAAATTACGTGTGATCGGGATTTGATTTTTTTCTCTCTCTCACTCTGTGTATGTACATAATTTATTAGTTGCTTCAGTCCTTCAAAATTTTGTGCATTTTGAGGTGCATCATACTTCTGTTACTACTGCTACTACTACTACTTACATGTGATCTTGGAGAAGGCAGTCTAAAAATAGTAATTGCTCAGTTCCTCTTTCCCTCTCTCTCTCTCTCTCTCTCGCCCTTTTGTAACAAAATGGACGATTTTTTCACGATGTACGCACCATTGCATGTCATCCGGATAAAAAAATAGTCGCCTAATGTCTCACTCACTCTCTCTCTCTCTTTCCCGCCTTTTTGCTTTAACACTAAAATATCTTGTCCTCGACGCCACCACCTCACCACTCCCCGATTGTTGTGACCTGGAGAAACACGAAAAAAAATTTCTTCGGTGTGTGTGTGTATTTGTGCAAATGAACTTCCTTCTATTAGAAGAAGAAAAAGAAAAAAAGACGGGAACGGAGGGAAATCACTGGCTGTGTTTTCTTTTTTTGCAGAGAAAAGTGTCCAATTCCTCTTTCTCCATTTCATCCAGTTTATTATTATTACTATTGATCTCATAATCTAATTTGCCTTAGCTGCTGTTGCTGCTGCCGCTGTACACATTGTGACGGTATGAAACTGTGTCCTGTCCTGTCCTACACCGCCAATGGACAGTTTTTCTTTGTCCTCATTTTTGTTTATAAACAAATATTCTTCCCTTCTATTTGTGTGCGTGTTCTTGTTTTTTTGTTGTTGTTGTTGTTGTTGTTCTTCTCCTTGATTCTGCGCACACAAAGATAGATATTTGTCTGTGTTCTATGTATATCAGGTTGACCCCCCTCCACCACTGCCACAACCACCACCCTGTTTCATTTACCGTATAATACGACATAATCTTCAGGATCATTTCCAGTGGGAAATAGGGCCTAGAATTTAACCGGGTTTCACACACAACACGGTGGCGCGCTTACATTCTTCTTTTGCTATAAGGGTTACTCATCGTCGGTATTCACACAGGTTAAAATTATCTACTCAACTGGCTTATCTAATTATGCTCACGATGAGAAATACTCATCCAGTAGTGACAGGGATAGTTAAAGGTTCTTGATAAGACAAATTTCACATGTGTGGCGAACTTATCGTTTATTGATTTGTGTTTAATTATTACAGTCGTAGATAAATATTGCGAATGTAATGGGACAAGTGAATTTTCAGTGCATATGCGTTTGCTTCGATAAAGAAAGAAAGACCAGATATGCAGAGGTTCTCATCAGCTTCTGCAAACTGCCTGATATTACAATGGTTATAAGTAATCACATTTCATACTTTAATGTCATCATCAATCTATATGCTGTCACACTGTGAAAAAAGTGGTGGCGTGGTGAGAGAAAATAGGAAAACCTAATAAACAGTGTTAGCTTGCACGTCAACATAACAACTCAAGAAGGTTAAGATTTGTAAAATCTGAGCGAAATTGAAATGCGTAATTCTGACGTTTCGTTCGGCAAACTGTTCCGAACTTCTTCAGGGAAATTAACATAACAAAAGTTTATATATTTAAGAAGGACATCTCTTGTTTTTAAAAAAAACTTTCTCCAATCTTATGCGTCATCAAAGTGTGATAAACAAAATTGTATGAGCTGTGATCAAAATTTGACCTCCGACTTCTTACAAATTTTAGTATACTTTTGTTGAACATTTTAAACAGAGTGTACTTTTCATTTCACATTTCAATTTCGCTGAGATTTTACAAATGTCTACTCATTCGGCTCCCAAGGTTGAAAACTTGCCCACTTAGCTGAACTCACTAATGTGTATGACTAATCAGTGTAATCAAAGTAATACGCTTAACAAGAGAGTGAGATATTGACTACACTCTCTTTCTGTGTGCATAAGTTTGGTCTGAAACGCTTGATTATTTCAGCGAATCGTAGTAAATTCACTGTCCTTTGTATGTTTAGTATTTTGAAGGATTTGGAAATCTTGACAAAATGACCCGTATCCACAAGGTGTCTGGCAATTGCACTTTGTAAATATCTGCTTCCTTTTAAGCATAAGTTTCTTGGAGTATGATCTGAAAACCCGATAGAGGCCCTTCTTTTTGTCCTTCCAATGTATTTGCGGCTGGGGGTGCACGTAAATTTATCAATGCAGTTGGAGGTAACATCAGCAGGGTACTTATCCAGTTTCGATTGTCTTATAGAGCATGCAGGGCTGTATAGCTTAGCTGCAGGGAAACATGTTTTTATGGCTCCTTTCATCCTCTTGTCAATCTTTTGTGATACTGCTTCTGCTTTGAATGGAAGGCAAATGAACACTTTCTTCATTAACTCAGGGACTGACTGGTTACCACTAGGGAATAATCTCGTCGACTTAGAATATGCGGATGATATAATCTGCCTAGGTGAGGACGCTGACAAAATGCAGAGTCTTCTCAACACCTCGAGGAGCAGAAATCTTAGCATGTTTGGCAGGCGGTTCTATCCTGTCAAATGTAAGATGTTGCTACAGGACTACATCGACTCCTAGCTGAAAGATTAGACACAGGGTCAAGTCGTAGAACATGTTTGACCACTTCACTTATTCGGGAAGTTGCATCAGCCAACCGTAGTGGGTTGATCGCTGTAGAAATCTCAACACGGAGACAAAAGGCTCGTGTGGGACTTGCCAACCTGCATCATCTCTGGCTTAGTAGACGTGATATCCAGCTGGCTATCGATCAAAGGACGTGTAGATTGTGGACCTGTTCACTCAGTCCCCGTTTATATCTATGAGACGTGGTCATTGAAAATAGAAGGCACTGTTAATTGGCTTTCAGTTTGTGATTAAAAGTCGTGAACTGTAGTGGGCGACAAAAGCGAGAGTAGGTGGAAAGGGTATCGGTTGTACGTCACACCAGATAACTATATAGACTCGTCAAGAGAGCGGGTTGCAAACGAATAAGTGGTACGCGAAACAATTTCTTACAAGAAGGGTCTTTAATTACCTCTCAGGATGGACGACTGGAACTGTAACAGGAGAAGACAAAAGACTTGGTAACGAATCCTTATTGAGGAAAAACATATCATATTTATATATTCTTAGCCACATTGAAGTTCGGCTAGATCAGAGGAGAACAAATCGTTCTGATTGGTTGGCAGCTGGCCCAATGAGGTTATTTCACGTCCACAACCTAAACTCTGCAGTTATTGAATTAAAATATTGATTTCTGTTGTATCGGCTTCCTATCAATCTGCATCTCCCTACTGGATGTTGAATGGAACACGTTGGTGACCAACTCAACTGATCTATAGCCACTGCAAATTTGCCTAGCATCCAATACTTATCTCAATGTGAATTTGGCATCAGTCCTCCAAATGTAACTGAGGTTGTGAGAGCTACGGCTAATCTGAAAAAGGCCACTAAGTAGGACCTGATGGAATCAAGTGTTCAAGGACGGTGATGGTGAATTATTGACTAGGTCAACTAGGATATTCAGTAATGTTTAGGAATGACAGATAGTCACGTTCGATTGGTGTAAATCTTTGATTAACTCGGTTCGCGGGAGACAGGATGAGTCCTCTTGTGATAGTCATGGGGAGGGGGCGGGATTAATTAGGCCAACATAGTATCTAAAATTCCAAGTCCATTAATCCTGTATAGATTTAGCAGTCTTCTGGAGAAATCAACCAGGTAGACTCTAGGACCGGAGTAGGTTGTTTTTATTGAATATTCACCCTTCAACACCCTTATTATTTTGTCCTGAAGATGGCACTTAACTCTATTGGCCGAGAGCTGCTGTATCAGTATCTGCCCGGGAAGGTATATCACACTAATCGACGCACTCTGTTCGAAAACAATTAGTCGTATTGTAGCTTACATAGAGTTGTCATCTGAAGTAATGACAAACAGCTGTGTCCGTAGCCAATGTCTCTGACAAAATTCATAGTCTTCTGAACACCTTGAGCTGCAATCTACGAATGTTCGGCATGCGATTCGCTCCCGCCAAATGTAAGATGATGTTGCAGGACTGGACTATCCTGACTCCTAGCTTAGAAATAGGGAGTGAAGTGGTAGAACACGTCGACCACTTCACTTACTTGGGAAGTTGCATCAGCCAACACCAACGGGTTGGTCGCTGACGGAATCTCAGTACGGATACAGAAAGCTAGTTTCGCATATGCCAATTTATACCATCTCTGGCTTAGTAGACGTGATATCCAACTGGCTATCGACCAAAGGGCGTGTGTACTGCTCAGCATTCCGCTCCGTCATCCTCTAAGGCTGTGAGACCTGGCCATTGAAAGTAGGAGACATGAAAAGGTTGGCTAGCTGTCTTTGATCAAAAGTGCCTGCGTTCTATCTCCCGTGTGTAGTGGTATGATAAGTTGGCGAATATTGAGGTTAGGCGTCAGTTGAGTGCTAGGTAGGTGGGAGGGGAAATCAATCGACGAGGCTGTGAAATTACATCGACTGAGATGATAAGGACATGTGTTACGCATGACTAGTCATCACCTTCCTCGACAATGGGCAATGTTAGCTGACATAAGATCAAGCTGGGAAAGAGCTAGCTGCTGTCAAACCAAAACATGGCACCAGTCAATGAAATCCACAACAGTTAGTTTAAGCCAGCCACATAAGAAGGTGTAGACTGACTGTTTGGGGTTTTAGGGATGGCAAAAACCAATGGTTGGAGACAATCGGTGATATGACTCAAAATCGTTCTCAGTGACTGGCGCAGATGCATCCACTCCTTGTGACTTATGATTTCTAATGAAATTATATTGTTCTTCGTTGTTACTATTCCTTTGTCTCACACCTCTGTTTGCTGTCTCTATTTTGGATTTTTTCCACTTTCTTTCCCTTTTCTACTCTCTTCTCCAGTCATTGGTTCTTAGAATCTCGAGGAATCCAACCAGTCAGGCAGTCTATACCTCCCTACGTGGCTGACTGAAACCAACTGTCAGATATTTGATAGAGTGACTGCATGTTTTGATTTGACCACCGCTAGCTCCTTCCCAATCAGATCATGTGTCAGCGAACACTGTCTGTTGAGAAAGACTATGACTTGAAATACGTAGCACATATCCTGGCTTCACAACCTCATCGATTGATTTCCCCTCTTTACCTAACACTCGACCGATGCCTCACCTCAATACTACTGACGATATTATAACTCGTAATGTTGGAGATAGAACACAGATACCTATGATCAGAGACAGCCAGCGAGTCTTTTCATGTCTTTCACTTTGAGTGGTCACGTTTCACAGTCATAGAGGAGGATGGAGCGGAGTGGTGCACAGTCTACACGTCCTTTGATCGATAGCCAGCTGGATATCACATCTCCTAAGCCAGAGATGATGCAGGTTGGCAAGTCTTTCACGAGCCTTTTGTCTCTGTGTTGAGATCTCTACAGCGATCATCCGACTACGGATGGCTGATGCAACTTCCCAAATAAGTGAAGTGGTTAGGATGCTTTGCGACTTCGTTTCGTCCCTATTTTTAAGCGGGAAGTTGATGTAGTCCAGTAGTAGTCTTGTGGCACCATCTTACATTTGGACAGGAGTGAATCGCATGCCAAACATCCGAGGATTGCTGCTCCTCGAGGTGTTCAGAAGACTGCATTTTTTCGGCATCTTCACCCAGTGGCCTATATCATCCTCAAGGTACGTGTGTACTGCTCAGCAGTTCTCTCCGTCCTACTCTTTATGCATTTGAAACACAGCCGTCGAAGTGGAAG